CGAATTATCATTTTAATCCATAGGACTTGGCTAAGTATAAATGGACCCACAAAGTTCTGATAATTTTATTTATTTTTATTTTTTTTAGTATTGTTACACCATTAGCAAAATAATTGACATCGACTAGAGTTCGACCACAGAGTAAGCCATGGACGAGATGCCTCTACTCCGTTAGGCTTTAGTGTCACAAAGGCTATGTGTAGTAAATTAGAAATAGTCAATAATAAATAACTCATAAATTGGCACAATTAAAGCTCTAAGCCACAGCTAGCTAAATCAAAATTAAAACTTAAACGTGATAATCTTTCATGCAACATTGAAGTATCCATACAATAGAATGCCACTGTCCAAATACCAATCAGACAACTCCAAATACTAAGGGCCTGTTTATGCCTCTTCAATTTCAAAAAAGTATATTACGAAATAGTGATTGATGTTGAAATGTGTGATTAAAAAAGAAATTTTTTTTTTTAATGTATATGTAATATTATTTCAATGAAAAATGTATTATTCAAAATGAATACTGTAAAAATAATAATATGATAGAATGATTGACAAACAAAGACTAAATTAGTTCAAAACTCAATGAGTCAACTTCACTAATTCACAATTCGAGGACTAAGTTCGCACCACCATTGATTTTTCAAATAAATTTCCTACTATCAAGAACCGTAAACATTTCAAATGCAAACATGATCAAGTAGACAATCCTGTGTGACAAAAATATTCGCAAAGAAAATAAGATCACACCTCAGGCCTAAAAAACATCTAAACCTTGTTTGTCACCCATTATTTGACAAATTAAAGAATTTTGAATAGCATATTTTGGAGAATGTGATTAAAAAATTAAAAATAAAATAAAATTTATTGATTTGTGTATAAAATATTTTGGAGAATGATTAAATTTTAAAGGCCATCCAACAAGCGCTAAATGTTTATAGATTTAACTATTTCAAAATTTCGGTTATTCAACTTTAGAAGGTGACAATAAAATGTAACATAAATTCAATACACCAAAAGAAATAAGACAGACAGTAGCAGCTAAACAATTGTATTTCACATTTATCAAAGAGGAAAAATTTTAAGCAAGCACAATACATGTTAAAAAAAATTAAAAAATTAAAAAGAATAAAAAACTGTTGGAACATATTATGCAATTAAAGGAATTTTGGGATAGTAATAGCACTGTTCGAAAGAGCTGAACATGACATACATAAAAATGGCTTGCAATTTATGACATTCATTTCAGAGTCCACTCGTTTTTATCTATAAGTATTAAATAGTCGGCTCCTAATTTGCACGAGCTGATTTAACCTCTCTAATATTGCCAGAAACGACCGTGCTTCTTCTGCCCTTGCAAGCGCCTGCATCATCGAGGCAAATGAGTTGAATAATGCTATTTGTAAACACTGCTGATGGACCCCCACGGCCACATTCTTTAATGAATTAAAATGCAGGAACTAGTGTTTGTAGAAATGGAACGCAGAACAAATGTACAGGCAAAAAGGATAAAAATATTCTACTCATGCCAACTGAAAATCCACAATAAAATACGTGATGGAGAAGATAACAGACTTTTGATGCTCTTTAGATCGTTCGATGAACTCTTTGGCAATATCATGACCCTGGTATGAAGCTAGAACAGTTCGAATATCAGCTGGCCTGTGTTTAGCCACATCTGCAGTCAAACAAAGTGGGCAAAATTAATCAAAAACGATTGGACGTTAAATCTCAACATGATCATCAACTAAATCACGCTAGTCACAAATAATTTTATACAGAAAGGATACTTACATTCAAGGAATGGAATAAGATCTAAAAGTGCCGTATCTTCTGCTTCACCTTGCCATGGTTTTATAGGAACAGCATTTTCTGGCTGAAGGCTACTATCTAAAGCATGACCACTAATGTAAATAACCTTTGCAGGATCCCTATTGAGCTTCGAAAGGTCCTGATAGCAAGAATCACAAATAAATTGCAAAAACATTTATATAGACTATGGCACTGCAACATAGAATTGAAATTTGGTATTGAAATATTGTGGGGGTGTACCTTCTTGCTTCTTCATAATTAGACCTATAAACAAAATGATTTTATCTAGTAGGATTGCATCACCATGCACAAACATAATTCACAATGAAGAGTCCATTAAAATTATAACCAAGTATAATTATCCTTTTCCCTAAAAGCGGCATCTTTTATACCATAGCCACTTTAGTCTAGTTTGGCTTGATTTAATCTGGTAAACAGAATATTGGCCAGGGACAATCACAATTCAGGTCAAACGAAGAGAAATTAGGATTGATGCAAATATATGCAAGAAGAAAATGCAATTTACAATTAAGTCATCAATTGCATTACTTGCATGTATGTTTTAATATCCGGATGTGCTTGAGTTTGACATCCTAGTTAAATAAATTCAGCTACTGCCGAGTCAAACTCTGAAATATCGACATGCTTATATCACATGTATTTTTCTTCTTTTATAAGAATACCTGTCCCATAAAGCAATGAGTAATGTTGCCTGATTATCCCCACGAGCAAACAAAGGAAGTTCAAGAGACAAGATTTTCAAATATAAGCAAAGCGGTGAAAATTGATTACGCGTAACGCGTCTGTGTAAATCCACTAAACAGCTCGAACAAATTTTACAATAAAAGATTACTAATCATCTATAGTCATCATTTTCCTTAAAAATGACAGCATATTCAGTATAGATACTGAAGCCATTTTGTTGGATGTTAATCAATGTACTGCAAAGAGTGACCATTAGCAAAAATGATTATTCTTTCCCGTCACGAAAAAGGGATGTTGAGTGAAAGATATGCACATAGTAATGATTATTGCTCTCTAAGAAACAAAAGAATGAGCATACCCTATAGTGCTTGCTATCAACATATCTTGTTGCACCCCTTGAGAGCCTATACCGGATACAGTGTTTGGAATCCAATGTATCAACAACAGGATCAACATACTGCAAATGCCAGGGGAAGACGTTTTGCAAATACCGTATGCGAAAGCAAGTAATAAATCACAAAAGCAAACTTTTACCATATTCAGCTTGTCAGAATATACTACAATTTCATAAAACTGAGCTAAATGCTCCAGAAAGGCATCTACACCGGGTCTCTTGAATGTTCTCCAACCTCTGTCACGCTTTAAAAGGTGGAACAAAAAAAGGATCAGAAAAAAGCAAGCGAATAACT